CTCAACTCCCTCTCTATCCTTCAATCTATCAATTAAGAACAAATAGTTTTTACTTATCTTCTTGCCGGTATTCCTTACATTCAATGTATGACCTATCGACAGCTGGTCAAGAGGAATCCAGTCGTCTTCTGGTGGAACCGACCTTCGAATCTCTTCACCCAACACTTCCACTCGAAATGGAAGTAAGCTCGACAATTATGAAACAAGAGATTCCTCGAAACCCAACTTTTCTTCGTATAAGCTTGCTTAAGTTCGTGTAGAACTGACCTTTGAATTATGCACAACAAATTCATTATAAAGCTTCAGGAAATTCGTTGACATCCGAACTGAACTGCTGCTTCATTCATGCACGAATTCCAACAAGACTTTCCAGGAGATTCGAAATTGGATGGTGTACGTCAAGGGGCAACAGATTCCCACCCAGTCACATTACCACAATTTCCAGTGGGTGACAGAGCGATTCACACATTTATTAGTGTGACTATTTTTGATCATAAAAACTTGCATTTACAAATGCAAAATAGTTATATAGTAAAAGTTTCCATAGGTCGCATCAGCTGAGGCATAAGATGGTTGAATTTTCCCACAAGCCTATAAGTAGGCCTCACTTTGTGATTGAATTCCACTCAGCCTTGCTTCTTGCAAGGTATTCTCATCATTGTAGGAGTGGACAGCAGTTTCTCCCTTTCCCAAACTCATCTTATCATCACATCCAACGGGACTCATACCCATGCTGTGGATGTTAAAGCTTAATTTCTACATGTTATCAACATACTAAATTACCACAGGACAGAAAATGTGGGCCTCTCTCATACCACATTTTTGTAAAGCTATACCATGAAGTAACCTTATATTTGCTATTACAATAGATCGCATTGTGAAGGCTTCTAGGCTACCAGTATATTTCGGATATGGATGTTGGGGCTGGTGATGACAAGTGGGCAAGGTCGAAATTGCAGTCCGGTCCAGCCTGAATAGAAATCTTCTTTGGCATGTCGGACTAGGAAAATTCGAGTAGAAACGTGAGACCTACTCTTATGATTGTATGAAAATGTTCACTCAGTGAGATCGACGATAACTAGAACTTTTATTCAAGATTTATCGAAAGTTTCACAATCTACTTTATATGAATATTAATACTTCTCACTCATGTATCAAATTAAAAATCCACTAATTGTTTTGAAGATTATCCAACGATAATAGAGACGAATCTATGTGGGAGAATGCACACTTATTCTCGAAGCCGTAGACTGTTTACCTGAACTTCATCTGGTCTCGGCAGAGAATTGGCAAGCATGTAAGGCAGAGACAGCCATGCTTCAGGCGTGTGTTTCACCCACGTCTCCGGGGAGACATGGCGCAGACAGGAATAGCGCATGTGGAGAGGATCTCGCTGACCCTTGCTGGCCTGCTGAGGATTGGCGTCCTTCCAGCTTTGGCAGGCTTGGCTCAGCTGAAGGCTTGATTTCACCATCGTCTCAAATTCGTTATTTCGTCCCGGATTCTTGGGCACATTCAAGGCTGGGTCCATCAGCCAGAGCCGACTAAACAGTGGGACCTTCAACCTGGAGGCGAAAATGAGAAGAAATCGACAAAGGTAGACATAAAGAGGGGGAGAATAGTCGGTCTATGAGAGTACGGAGGCTATAAAAGCAACAGCTCAATCCACGTCTTTAGACAACCTCAGTCGGACTCTGAGCCGGAGTCTAGATGATGTGGAAACAAGTGTGAATTCGGACCAATGCAGACGCTAAACTGTAGTGCAAACCCAGTGTAGACCATTAATCTGAGCATAGTTTACGTGTTTGTCCTGACCTTCCTTGAAATTCCTATCTTTCCTGAGACCCAAGAGCCTTCTTGGCTCTCATTCTGCCCTGTCACGGTTCGACTCCCACTGGGGGTGTTGATAAGACCGATGCGAGGTGGAAATTGCAGTCCACCCTGGATGAGAACACCTTTTGGGAAAGCAAGTCTATGTGAATTTTAATGGAAACGTCAGCTCGCCTCATATCATTGTGGGAAAATTATACCACTAATTCTTCATCATCTTAAGCGAACTAGGGTAAATAAATTTCATACAACTGGTTTACATATAATTACTTAAATCGGAGTTATGGACTAGCGTAATCTGAGTCATTCTTTTCGTTAGGTCATTAAGCCTTGACGTTTGGCGTTTTTCTAATCACTCTGAGATATAGAAGGTATTACAAATAGACGTTAGTATACACACAAGCAATCACTGAAACACACACTCGAGTATAAAAGAGCTAACAAATCATTTTTAATCTATAGCTAAATATGTTTCAATTATGAGTATATATATCAAATAAGAAAGGGTCGGACAGTCTTCTTGACATGGTGCCACTTTAAGGCTTTTGCAATAAGGAGTCCCGGCTCTGATATTTTTTCGAAGGTATGAAGACCAAGATGGTATGGAAGGGGGGTGAGAAGGCCAGTGTGGAGTGCTGAGGGTTTTCATGAAAGCCGCTCAAAAGAGCACACCATACCACGGTTGATTAAGCAAGTAAAAAAATTGTGACTGTGAAGGTGTGATAGGAGGATATAGGAAATGTGAATAGGCCAGGGCAGAAGGCGAAGATACCACAATTGTTTAGCACACGTTTGGTCAAAGGATCGGCTTCACTTGTCTCTTTGACGAGTTGTTGTGTGATGCTAAGAATGGCGAAACTCACTGACGATGCCGACGAAACGTCTGGGAATGTACCACGTCCACGGTCCGACTTTAGATATTATCATGCATACAATGGACTCAGGACAAGGTGTGTTTCTCTAAGTCTTCCTACCAATATGACCAAGTTGCGAACACAAGGTCAAACAACTTCTGATGTTTTTTGTCCAAGTGTGCTACAGCCTGGTCCCCACTGTTTCCAAGCCTATTTCGCTCGCCTTCACGGCCACAATTTGTGAGCTAAGCTTGCACTCTCTAAATGTCTTGCTCTGTATTGCTTACCTGCATGATTGCAGAGTACACGAAAATGACTCATAGTGCAAACTTATAGGATCCGATCTGCAATCTGTATGCGCTGCTTAGCCATGACGCTAGTTGTGCACGCATCTGAGTTGCTGAATGGTTGAGACTGTCTCACAAGAATGATCTATGAGAAGACGATCCAATTTGGATCAGACGAGGGAGTGAAAAGTTGGCTTCTACGAATTTGGTGGTTTTTACTTGTTTACTCAAAATTCATATGATATTGTGGAACTATCAAGAACCTTGATGACGGATCCCACTAGAACACGACTGTGAAGCCCGCTCTGCCAGTTTTCGGTTGGCTTTATTGAAATATTCTTATTGACAATGTTCTTTTTCAAGTCGATGCAAAATGTGCTTATCTTGCGTCCATCGTATGACGGAATTCATCAGAATGGGGCATCATTCTTATAACCTAATTTAAGTTGGCGAGTCAACAAAGCTAGATCCTAGATGGATATATGACTTTAATTGATCAAATTGCTGTATACCCTATACAAATGTATGGGTTTAGAATATACATTTTTTGTATGTAGATATGTCAGACTAAATTTGCCTCTAACAATGAGGCCCTACTCTGATGATTACCATCATAGGATGGATGAAAAGTTAGCAAATTTTGCATGAAATTAAAAGTGATTGCCTCGAAAGTGGCGTCAAACAGGATGTTCCAGCAGTACCAATCGAGATCTGGCCAAGAGGGTTAGGCCGTCATCTGGTGGGATTCACCTTCAAAACTTTTCATCGTCACACACTTTGACTCAAAAATTCGCGAATTTTCTTTGTCCAGACTGGAGGAGGCACTCCATATTCTTGCAGATCTGTTCGTTCTGGCTAATTGGATAACAATGTTGACAGAGCTATACCAAAGGCCTCCAAACATTCCCTACTGCCTCTCTATGCTAGCTCCAGAATTCCTTAGCTTTGTTGAATTCGCATCCATTTTGTCTTCCAGCAAGAGTTACTCTTGGTGGGGCCAAAATATGGCATCCGAGCAGTAGGCACTTCCGCAAAGTGGTAAAATAGGACAACTGGTGTGCATAATAAGAGGCTGTAACGACTCATTAAAATTGTTTCCTACTTTATGCAAGAATGATTGATATTAAGGGAAGCGTAAAAGTGTCGAAAAAGAGGAAGCGGGAAATAGAAAAAAATTTATTATGTATAGACAACAATTTCTTCGATAATTTCCTCTCTCCAGATTTGACGGTTGCTAAGTTTTCTTTTCTCCTATATGAGCATCTGTGTGGGGCTGACCTGTCTACATATACATAAGAGGGTAGCTGAGAATAGATTAGCCAATATGCTGGATAGAAAGAACGAGTCTAAAAAAGTAAGCTTAAACACCTAATGGCTGTTCGATAGATAGGATGAGGAAGAGAGAGAGAGAACAGAAGGTACAGCAAAGCAAGAAAAAGAGGCTTAACTATCCTGGAATCTAGCTTGCCATCTACACCTCACACCACTCAAGAGCATTGAACGTACACAACACACGTTATGGAGACTTTCATATAAAATGAATGTCTCCATAACAATATACAAGTTGTATTCACTCAATTTCGTTTGTTTCCAAATTCATGTGAGTAGGCCTAATGTTTCTATTCAATTTCACACTGTCTTGTTTCAGAAAAGGTATTTTGCGGTTTTGGTCCCACTTCACGAGCTGATGATGGGCAAAATTTCCCTATTAGTTCTTTATCATCTTAAGCGAAATAGGATGAAGACAGCTCTTATATGCGGTATACTTGTAGTCTTGGCAACCAAATCACAACACGGAAAATGGTAGGAGATCAATTGAACTCCATCTACTCTTTGCATACACATCACTCGTATAATGGAACGCAATTACGTGCATCAAGAATACAGGAGCGAGAATACACGTGGTATGGAGAAGAGTGCAGTCGTTGGGTCGCAAGCGCATCAGTCTCACCCATTATTAGCAGACAATTTACCTGCAGTAAGCATGTAGGAATAACATAGCATAGTCACTCAAATCAAAATCTCAGACAAACTCAGGCTACGAGAAGTAGTCAGGATTGTAGAGCATGCTAGGAAACCTGGTTTCACGCTTTAATACATTGTCTGTAACATGGTAGACGAGAGTTCAGTTTGGATTCATTGGGGTCATGTGCCAGTGAGTCTATTCACACCAATCTGCAATCACAAAATCAAAGCAATCTTCTTTCGACATCCGATGAGACAAATTTGAAAATCACTTCCATCCTTATTTGTCAAAACACAATTAAGAAAAACGGCTAAATATAGGATATATTCAATGAGAAATTCATATGAATGTATTAAATTAGTATATCAGCAAATGAGTACTGAAGAGAACCAGTTGGCAAGTTTTGATGTGGCCTTAATTCATAACAATAGTTCAGTTCAGAGGGCTAATACATCTATAGCACTTTTCTTAGAAATAAGCCGGAGCAGTACCGTGAAATTGAACTTAAGCAAGAGTTCAATGTCAAGACCACTAAACCTATCAACAAGCAGCAATTGTAATACATTTCAGGATAGGCTTTATTAACAGGTGCAAGTAATTGCAACGGAATTTCACTTTAATTAATAATTACAATTTAGGCATGGGAGACCATTTTAGGTGGGTTAAGGGGACAATATTGAGAGCAAAGCTATTGGTCAGATATATGGACGATCATTCAAAAAGTTGGCAGCATGGTAAGGAGAGATTAAATAAATTATCGTTCTTACTTAACCAGGTGAATGTTAATGCTAAGTTCACAAATGCATATAGGTAAGGACAATTGTTTAGATTATTAGAATAAGACAGAGGTTGTATAATGTTATATATATGAAACCAGTAAATTCTGACTTTATCTTCAACTTCCTTTCCTACCGCAATTACAAGGTGAAGGCTGGTATATCAGAATAAATGCGAATTAGAAGTATACGATTCACTGATGGAGGCCATTGCAATAAAGAATACTTATCTTACGGGTATGATTGAAAATGATACTATATTACTTGGGAAGGCATTTCCAGGTCAGGGTCATTTGAAATAAATGAAGAAACAGACCACTTTTCTTATATTATGACTTTGTCTTTGTGCTTCCTCTCTAAAAATATAGACGAGCTGGTAAGGGAAGGAGAAAACTATGACATTTTCTTCTGTTGCTACCACTTTTGGCGAAATAGTTGACACATTCTCCAAATCAGGCCGCTACAAAATAGCGTGTTCACGTGGTAATGTTTATGTTAGCGACACTTTCTGTCTCATTCGCCAAAATATTGCTAAACGCAAAGTGCTATGGAGAGCGTTGAGTTCATCGATTGATCCAGCGGAACCCTGGACATAAAGTAGAGTTGTCTAGAACGTATTGTTTTGCTGTTTACTTCTAAGAGCAAAATTATGGAGGCGAATGAAATCGACATGTAAAATGCATTGAATATCATGAATACTGGTAAGTTGAGTAAGAAGCAATGATACTTAATTGATGGACTGAAAGATAGAGAGCATGTTGAGCTGCCTGGACGAGGTCTCATCTGGTAGTAGGTTGGTGATTGTTCCAGTTATCGTCCCATCTAGGACTTTTAGTTACTTTCTCAATTTTCTCACACACACAAACATACCCACTCGCACACCCATATACGTGAATGAACAAACCAGCACATGCCTATTAGACATTACGCAATCGTAATGAGGTTAGCCTAGAAAACCACTTATAACGGAAATAAAATTAATTGGGTTGGGAGTTGGTAAATCTTGATGGCCAAAGATAGATGTTTTATTTGCTTGAAGCTATTTCTGCTGGTTGCATACACAATTCTACCACAAAAGGCATATAAGTGCATATAATCATAAACACACACAAGTGTGTATATTGGCATCAGACTTGAACTAATCTGATCACTTCATATCACATAAAGTGCATAAATTTAGGGTATATGTATATAACACATCTAGGCAGAAGCTGATGAGTTTTATTGACTAGTTTGCTTGAATTTGGTTGCAATAATGAAAGTATGCAAAGTGGATGTCCATTAAATGCCAAATGAGAGCTTGGCACTTTTTCACATCCATCGAAAGAGATCGTCTCGCAGACAGCACCAACCAAAATGTATGCTCAAACTTCTAATCTCTTCGCCAAACCCTTTAGTCTGAAATGGAAGTGAGCTTATAGAATATGAACCAAGAGTTTCCGCGAATCCTCAATTTCGTCGCATGCTCTAGTAAAGCCAACTTACAGCTGGCCGTAAAAAATTAGCCGTCGTCTGCTGATGGGATACACATTCGAATCACTTAATTACAAACTTTTACTCGAAATAGAAGGGAACTTATCAAACGGAGGTCAGGAGATTACCAAAACTCATGATGTATTCTCATACGCTAAAATTAAGCGACAAAATCAAGCCTCCGATGCAATTCAAGGGATAGTTGGGACAAACTGAGCATTGGCAAGAATTAGTGCTGAGCTTACATCACCTTCAAGCAGGCACAATTTGGAAAGAGAAGCTTCATGTAGGTCGATGTCAATAAAAGAAGAAAGCGAATTTCTTTTTGCTGTACTAGGTGGGTTATACAAATACTTGAATTAAAGCATCTTGGATACTTTATGATAATCATAGTTGCAATGGATAAGCCTTGATCCCATCAGTTTATCAAAAAAGAACATTAGTTAGTGTAAATACTTTATGACGATTTATGGAGTTATAGCGAGTAAAGTTCTAAATAGCAACTTTATATCGAGTAAATCTCTGAGATATATCATCTAGTAATAATAATCTTCCACCCAAGTTCATCCAAGCATTTCCAAGATTCTTTTCATTCCCTCATCTGGTGACTTGGTTTTGGCAGCATACATGTCATAGACACCAATACGACGACTTTGCGGCCATCCTTTCCCATCCCCAGCTCTAAGGATGCCTATCAGCTGAACTAAAATGGGTCAAGAGAAGTCAGATGTCGTATTCTGGTGAACTGGAGAAGAGTAAATCTCTTCTTTTCGCAAATTACTTCAAATGAC